GGGTGTCCGGGGAGAGGAGGGGAAGGGGGGGGCGTGCGGCGGCGGCGCTCGGCGCGTCTGGAAGTAAAGAGCGAAGAGCTCCGATGAGTCCCGGACAAAGTTTCTGCCTGGCTCGCTGCTGGGCGGTGTGTGCGCGCGCTCGGCAGGCGTCTTCCCCCGCCCCGCCGACGCCCCGGCCGAGCCGCTGAGCTACCCAGAGGAAGAGCTTCCAGTGCCCGGCCGGAGGAGCTGCGCCCAAGCCTCCCGAGTGGGCGAGGGCAGCTTTCGGGGATTACGGATCTGAAAGAAGCGCAGCCTGCTCTGCCGAAAGAAAAGACCAACCACTTGATGCACGTTTGCCCTTCGGTTTGCGCTTGTCGGGATAGCTTTGCGCGCGTGTGGGTGGCCGGAGTTCTTGTCCCGCGACGGTCCGTCGCCTCCTTTGATTGCCTTGTCGCCGCCGCCGCCGCCTCCACCCGACCCTTCCGTCCCCTTCTTCTTTGGAGTTGACAACTCCGGACGCACGTCGGAAAGGCTCCCCGAAGGATGTACAAAAGAGAGGGAGCCGCCGCGCAGCCCGCTGGAGCTGAGGGGAACTTTTGAACAATGCCCAGGAGGGCTCCGGGGGCCGCGCACGTCCAGAGAGAGGCTCCCAGCAGCAGCAGCGGCGGCGGCGGCGGCAGGAGCCGCGAAAGCAAGCCCTGGAGTTGCGGAAAGAGGAGGCGAAGAGGGGAACCAGGAGAACCCCGTAGATGAGGAGGAGGAGAGGAGCTGGCCGCGTCTCTTTCTGCGGTGCAGAAGGAACGGGTCTGCTAGGAGCCGTGGCGGGTGGGAGCCTGCCTTAAAGCATCGCCACGTTCCCCGCTCCCCTTCAAGCGGAATTGCTCGGACCGCCGTCACGCTCCCCCCCCCCACGCATCGACCCCCCCTTGAATACTTTTGCTGAAGGGACTGGGCTGGACCTTTCCTTTCTCGCTGCAAGAAAACTCCGAAGCGGCGGGACGCGGGGAGTTGTTTCCCCCTGTTCTTTTCTTGACGGTGCAAACGTCCCCCCCTCCTCCGCCCCACCGATCCTCCCCACACCTTCTTCGTCCCCGGCCGCACAAGTCGCCCGAGGGGAAGGAAGGGGGGGGGAGACAAGCCCGCGTCTGGCTGGGTGGGTGCGAGCGCGACGGCTCGTGGACCGACGGCTCCTCGCTTTGTCTGCCCGCCCTGCGCGCCGCCAAGAGGGAGAGAGAAAAGGATGCCCAGAGCTGTGGAGGCGACGGCTGCCTTCTCTCTCCCACCTGGACGCCTCTGGTGATGTGGATCGCCCTGCCCGGCTGGCTGACGCTTGCTAACCTTTTGGCCTGGCTGGCGGTTCTCGTGGTGTTCAGGACTTGGGCAGGTGAGGAGGATTTGCTATAGCTGGGCACCATGGGCCTTGTCAGGATGCCAAGCAGTGCCTCCTCTTCCACTTGGATTCTCTCTTTTGCCTTGCTCCTGTTGCTGGTGATGCATGCCTCCGGTGAGCCTAGGCAGCTTTTCCAGGTATTGGAAGAGCAGCCTCCAGGTACCTGGGTGGGAACCATTGCCACCCGGCCGGGCTTCACCTACCGCCTGAGTGAGCAACATGCCCTTTTCTCCATTAATGCCACGTCTGGAGAGCTGCACACCCGGGCCACCATTGACCGGGAGAGCCTGACCAGCGACGTGATGGACCTGGTGGTGCTTTCCAGCCAGCCGACCTATCCCAGCGAGGTGCGCATCGTGGTGCTGGACCTGAACGACAACGCGCCTGTCTTCCCGGATCCATCCATTGTGGTGACTTTCAAGGAGGACACAGGCAGCGGCCGACAGCTGATCCTGGACACCGCTACAGATGCGGATAGCGGGACCAACGGTGTGGACCACAGCTCTTACCGCATTGTGGGTGGTAACGAAGAGGGCCGCTTCCAGCTTAATGTCACGCTCAACCCCAGTGGGGCAGGGGCCTTCCTGCATTTGGTCTCGCGTGGGGGGTTGGATCGAGAGGCCACCCCTGCCTACCAGCTGCTGGTGCAGGTGGAGGACAAAGGGGAACCTCGGAGGCGTGGATATTTACAGGTCAATGTCACTGTGCAGGATATCAATGACAACCCACCGGTTTTCAGTCAAACCCTCTACCAAGCTCGTGTGCCTGAAGATGCACCGGTTGGAGCCAGCATTCTTCAGGTGGCAGCAGCAGATGCTGACGAGGGCACCAATGCTGACATCCGATATCGCCTGGAAGGAGCCGAAAGCGCTGGTGTGGATGGAGCTGTGGCACTTCCTTTCGAGGTGGACCCAGAAAGTGGGATCATTCGCATTCGGGAGGCACTGGACTATGAGACCCGGCGGCAGTACTCCCTAACAGTTCAGGCCACAGACCGGGGCGTGCCAGCGTTAAGTGGCCGGGCTGAAGCGCTGATTCGCTTGCTGGATGTGAATGATAATGAGCCCCGGGTGAAATTCCGCTACTTTCCTGCCACCTCTCGTTTTGCCTCAGTGGATGAAAATGCTGCGCCTGGCACAGTAGTGGCATTGCTGACTGTGAGCGATGCTGATTCTCCAGCAGCCAATGGGAATATCTCAGTGTCCATCTTGGGTGGGAATGAGCAGCGCCATTTTGAGGTCCAAAGCAGCAAAGTTCCCAATCTCAGCCTTATCAAAGTGGCAGCTGCCCTTGACCGGGAACGCATACCCACCTATAATCTCACTGTGGCTGTGACTGATAACTTTGGGGCTCCTCCACCATCACCTGGTTCCCTCCCATCTTCCCTGAGCCCTGAAGGAACTCTTCCTGCCCCAGTCAGCCGTTCCTCTGTTGCTAGTCTAGTGATCTTTGTGAATGATATCAATGACCACCCTCCTGTTTTTGGGCAGTCCATCTATCAAGTGAATATCAGTGAAGAGGTACCCCCTGGCAGCTATGTGCAAGGTCTGAGTGCTACAGATCGTGATTCTGGGCTGAATGCCAACCTCAAATATAGCATAGTTTCTGGCAATGAGTTGGGCTGGTTTTGTATTAGTGAGCACAGTGGCTTAGTCACCACCAAGAGCCCTGATACCACTGGAGTTAGACCTCTCCTTGGAGTATCTGGCCCAAACATGGCAGCATCTGGTGTGCTGGACCGGGAAGTAGCTTCCCAGGTGGTGCTGAACATCAGTGCCCGAGATCAAGGGGTCCAACCAAAAATATCCTATGCCCAACTCATAGTGAATATTTTGGATGTTAATGATGAAAGGCCGCTGTTTAGCCAGCCAGATGGGTATCATGTGTCAGTGGCAGAGAATTCTCCTTCAGGAACAGAGTTGCTGGTCCTCACTGCTGTTGATGGTGACTTGGGAGTTAATGGGACTGTGCGCTACTCTTTGCAAGAAACTGAGCCAGGGGGGGTGGCAGGTGGCCCTTTGGTAGCTACATGGAGGATTTTCCGCTTGGATCCTATCTCAGGACGACTCAGTACAATTTCACTGTTAGACAGGGAAGAACAAAATTTTTACTCAGTGCAAGTGCTAGCCACCGATATGGGCTCTCCTCCCCTGTCCTCAGTGGCTCAAGTCAATGTGAGCTTGCTTGATGTAAATGATAACAGCCCCCTGTTCTACCCTGTCCAGTACTTTGCCCATGTCCAAGAAAATGAACCACTAGGCAGCTATGTTACCACTGTGTCTGCCAGTGATCCTGACCTTGGACTGAATGGGACAGTCAGGTACAGCATCTCACTGGGAGATACCTCCAGGTTTCAAATTCATAGTCAGACAGGAGTGATTACCACAAAAACGGTTCTAGATAGAGAAGAGAGGACTGCTTACCAACTACAGGTGGTGGCCAGTGATGGTGGCAATCTCCAGTCCCAAAACCAGGCCATAGTAACAGTCACTGTTTTGGATACTCAGGATAATCCACCAGTATTTGGCCAGGACATATATAGCTTTGTGGTGTTTGAAAATGTTGCCCTAGGTTATCATGTAGGCAGAGTTTCTGCATCCACTATGGACTTGAACACCAACATCACTTACCTTATCACAACAGGAGACCAAAGGGGGATGTTTGAAATTAACAAAGTGACAGGCTTGATCACTACAGCTAGTGTTATTGATAGGGAAGAGCAAGCCTTTTACCAACTGAAAGTGGTGGCAAGTGGTGGAGTGATCACTGGGGATGCCTTGGTTAATATAACTGTCCGAGATCTAAATGACAACTCCCCCCATTTTCTTCATGCAGTGGAAACTGTTGATGTGGTAGAGAACTGGAGTACTGGGCACACCATATTTCAAGCCAAAGCTGTAGACCCTGATGAAGGTGTCAATGGCATGGTCCTTTACAGTCTAAAACAGAATCCTAAGGACCTTTTCAGTGTCAATGAGCAAAGTGGTGCCATCACTTTAACTGGGCCGCTGGATATAAATGTTGGGTCTTACCAAGTGGAGATTCTTGCTTCTGACTTGGGAGTCCCACAGCGTTCCTCTAGCTTCATCCTAACCATTTCTGTTCATGATGTAAATGATAACTCACCAGTGTTTGACCAGCTTTCCTATGAAATCACTATTTCTGAACTGGAGCCTGTGAACTCTAGATTCTTTAGTGTGCACGCTTCTGACAAGGACTCAGGCGCAAATGGAGAAATAGCTTATAACATAATTGAAGGAAATATTGGAGATGCCTTTGGCATATTTCCAGATGGTCAGCTGTACATAAAGAGTGAGCTGGACCGTGAACTTCAGGAGAGATACATGCTGCTGGTTTCAGCTTCTGATAGAGCTGTAGAGCCACTCAGTGCCACGGTGAATGTCACTGTAATTCTAGAAGATGTAAATGATAACAGACCGTTGTTTAACAGTACCAATTATGTTTTTTATTATGAGGAAGAGCAGAGTGGCGGCTCATTTGTGGGTAAAATAAGTGCTGTCGACAAAGATTCTGGGTCTAATGGAGAAGTCAGATACTCATTTGAACACATGCAGCCTGATTTTGAATTGAATGCAATCAGTGGGGAAATAAAAAGCACCTATCAGTTAGACAGGGAAGCCCTTATGAGGCAAAGGGGAGCTGCTGTGTTTACATTTACAGTCATTGCAACAGATCAAGGGTTGCCAAAGCCTTTAAGGGATCAGGCAACAGTGCAGGTTTATTTGAAGGATATAAACGATAATGTGCCAAAATTTTTAAAAGAACTTTATCAAGCTACAATATCAGAATTAGCTGCAAATCTGACACAGGTATTAAGAGTTTCAGCCTCAGATGTTGATGAAGGTAATAATGGACTCATCCACTATTCTGTAGTTAAGGGCAATGAAGAAAACCAGTTTACAATAGACAGTAACACTGGCCAGGTGACTTTAATTGGTAATCTAGACCATGAAGCTACTGCATCCTATTCACTTACGATTCAAGCAGTAGATTCTGGGACAGTTCCACTAAGCTCAGTCTGTACACTGAACATTGAAGTTTTGGATGAAAATGACAACAGTCCTTCTTTCCCTAAATCAACTTTATTTGTTGATGTCTTGGAAAACATGAGAATTGGGGAACTGGTCTCTTCTGTTACTGCCACTGATTCTGACTCGGGTGACAATGCTGATCTTCATTATAGTATTACAGGGACAAATAACCATGGAACATTTAGCATCAGTCCCAATACTGGCAGTATTTTCCTCGCCAAAAAGTTGGATTTTGAAACCCAGTCTATGTATAAACTAAACATAACTGCAAAAGACAAAGGAAGGCCTCCTCAGTCATCTACTATGTCAGTTGTTATATATGTCAGAGATTATAATGACAACCCACCTCAATTTCCACCTGGAGACATTTTTAAATCTATTGTTGAGAACATTCCTATTGGGAGCTCTGTCATTTCTGTAACTGCTCATGATCCAGATGCAGATATTAATGGGCAGTTAGCATATACTATAATGCAGCAGATGCCAAGAGGGAACCATTTCCGTATTGATCATGTCAAAGGAACAATATATACCAATGCTGAAATAGACCGTGAATTTGCTAATCTCTTTGAATTAACAGTGAAAGCCATTGACCAAGCTGTCCCTGTTGAATCTAGAAGATTTGCTTGGAAGAATGTCACAATTCTGGTAACTGACCAGAATGATAACGTTCCTACTTTTCTATCACAAAATGCACTTGCTGCAGATCCTTCTATTGTGATTGGTACAGTCCTAACTACAATTGTTGCTGCTGATCCTGATGAAGGGGCAAATGGAGAGGTCGAATATGAAATAATTAATGGGGACACAGATACCTTTGTTGTGGACCGCTACAGTGGAGAACTAAGAGTATCATCGGCCTTAGTGGCATCTCAACTTATGTACAGCTTCATAGTTTCCGCCACCGATCTTGGCCCTGAGAGAAGAAAGTCAACCACAGAGATGACTGTGATTCTACAAGGACTTGATGGGCCTGTTTTTACTCAACCAAAATATATTACCATTTTAAAGGAAGGTGAGCCTATTGGGACCAACGTGATATCCATAGAAGCAGCTAGTCCTAGAGGCACTGAAGCACTTGTGGAATATTTCATAGTCTCAGTGCGTTGTGAAGACAAAACATTTGGCCGACTCTTTACCATTGGGCGTCACACTGGTGTGATCCAGACAGCTGCTATTTTGGATAGAGAACAAGGAGCCCGCCTATACCTGGTGGATGTTTATGCCATTGAAAAATCTGCTGCTTTGCCACGTACCCAGAGAGCAGAGGTAAAATCTTTTTCTTATTTAACTGACTGTACTTCTATTAGCTCACTTCTTTTAGAATGCAACCCATGAACACCTAGGGCTAAGTGTATGACTTACTTCTGAGTGTAATTCTATAAAGTTGGACTTTTGAGTCTTCCCAATGTTAGTTATTTTGCAGATTCTAAAGTATTTTTTATTGTCAGACTGTTGTGTAGCCTGCAGGAGTAACCTCTGAAAAAGCATACAAGTGTTTCATTCCTCATACATAGATTAGAACAAAGTGCAGATTTACTACTTTTGCACATACAAGTGTTACATTCCTCATACATAGAACAAAGTGCAGATTTACTACTTTTGCCTGAGATTAGTTAGCTGATCAGCATGCTATACAAGTGACTTTTCATTCCAGCTGCATAGGCTGACAACTGGCATTCACTAGTTGACTTTAACTGTGGTCTCTTTTGGATTTGACATTTTCTTCATGGAAAGCCCTGTATGTGAAAGGGTCTTGTCTTAGACTTCTTGCCAATTACATCAGTTTGGATACCTTGTTTAGCAGCCTATGAGCTTTGAGCTGGTTGTACCAGAGGGTGGACTGTTTTCTTACTTCTTATTGTACAATCCTGAGTGTTTGGACAAGTTACAGAAAACTTAGTTTATTCTTCCAAATGAATTTCTTTTCAACTCTCAACACTTCTTTTCCATTCCTCTAGGCTTGCCAATGTTTTAGCTTCCCTCTAAAGACTTACATATTTTTTTTAGATTGATACAGAAGCCAAATGTTGAATGTTAAAATGATTCAGTTCTTTGGGGAAATGGATAATGAAACATTAGTTATGATATTAGAATGATATGCTAAATAATCTGTTTTGCTAAAGATGTGCCATGAGCCTATTTGTGTGATTTTTGTACATTTTACAATAGGTATTGTCTTTCGGAAACTTAGGTTTGGAAACATTTCTAGGCCAATCAAGGCGGGGATTTTCTTTTCTGTCTGGCATTGTTCAGCTCCTGACTCCTAAATTGTGCTGAGTCAGTGCATACTTTGGAGCAAAACATATTCAGTAGACAAAATGTGTTCAGCAGGAGATGCCGGAAGTGTAGTACAAGTCAAACATTTCCCTCATGGTCTACAGTCTAACTCTGAAAGGGAATATAACTGCACATCCTAGAGACTGCTTTCAAGTACTGATTTAGAGTACAATACTGAAATCCTCACACACCTACGTACTTGAACAGTCTAACTCTGAAAGGGAATACAACTGCACATCCTAGAGACTGCTTTCTGGTACTGATATAGAGTACAGTACTGAAATCCTCACACACCTACGTACTTGGGATTAACCAGTGAGACTTACTTCTAAGTAACCATTCGTAAGACTGAGCTGCAGAGATACTCTCTTTTCATTTAAAGCAAGTTCCATCACAGAGTGACTTTGTTTCTTTCTTGCAAATAAAATGTTAAGTGTGGAAAATGTAATGATAAGGAAAATGTGTGCAACTGGGTACGTTTGTTGTTATGTCATTATACAGTTCAGTTAGAAACATCAGTATGAAGTTTGGCTTCAGCTGCTGCTCTAGTAGAAATACTGTACATTTTACTGTTGTTAGGAAGAATAATTTTTCATTTCATCAATGCTTTGGAGCCACAGACTAATTTAATCTTCATCTGCCACCTTCAGTTCAGTTAAATCATTGAAACTGAAACTGAATTATCTTCCTATTTCACTCTAACCTTCAATCTCCAGTCTGTTTACCTGGGAGAAAATGTAGCAATTCAGTGGAATTTATATCAGAGTAGACATGTACAAGAATGCACCCTTTAATGAAGGTCTGAGTTGGAATTTTAAGATATATCATAGGGTGGAAAAATTATGGGAAAAATAAAGCTAAGCATGCAAACACAGATCTGCAGGTAACTTAATTAGTATCTAACTACCATTATTCATTCCAATAACCAGGTATCTATCTATGGAAGGTATTTATTTATTTATCTATGGAAGGTATTTATTTATTTATTTATTTATTTATTTATTTATTTATTTATTTATTTATTTATTTATTTATTTATTTATACCCCGCCCATCTAATCAACTGACTACTTTGGCCGGCTTCCAACACATATAATAAGAATATAAAATATAACAACATTTAAACATCAGTAATAGAATAACATATTACTTGTAAGAGATGTTCCAGCAGGAACTTGATATGGGCTGTGGTTTGAAATGTTGAATTTCAAATAATCCAAAACTAATTTGTAGTATGTTGCTCAGTAGGTAGTACTTCACATATCTTGAATCATCCATCAGTACATTTCTGCTGCTTACAGCACTGTCATACAGAAGTTAAATACATGCTTATTGACTGGAACTCCTAAGTAAGTTGTATAGGATCATAGTCTAATGTCGAATATCCACAATGTGCTAACAGAATGTCTATTTTTTGAAACAACAACAACACTTTTTTTTACTTTATTGATGAATTTATGTTAACTGCATCACTTATTTTATGCTCGGGCCTTCCTAGTTTGAATTAAAGAAGTAATATGACCTGTAGTTAGAGTCTCAGTTCAATCAACATGTGCTCATTTTCATATATTGGAAATGAAGAAAGATCCTGGTTTGTTTGTTTGTTTGTTTTTTGGTACTACATTTCTTCCAGTGTCTTAGCTGGCTGGTAGATTCTAGAAATCTTAGTATTAAAAGTAACTTTTATCTTCTCTGCATATTGTGAATTGTATACCATAAATAGTCTTGAACTTTACACTTGGCAAGAGATAATTGAGACAAGTTTTGAATTGCATTCTTTATGTTCAAAGGCTATTTTTCAGAATCTTAGTAGAACTGCTGAGCTGGAACTGACCCTATGGATCATTGAATCCAGCCCTCTCAATGAGGCACAGTGGGGACTTAAACTCCCAACTTCTGAGCTATCCAGCGGTTTATATAGTGATGTCACTATTGTAGTAGAAAATAATGTACACTGTCCCTTTTGGTCCACAAATTCAAAATTGTTCAGTTAAAAACTTTTAAAATCAGTGGTTCCCTGTTCTTAAGATTATTCACTTCGCCCTACCTTTTCTGCAGAAGTTATACTCCCTTAACATCTATGTGACAGGCAGGCATTCCAACAGGTGGATGTGATATCAGGAAGGAGATGATGCTAGGGAAGGCTTTGTCTGTTGGCATTCTGCCTGTCAGGGTTGCTACTTGCTGCAAGAGGTGGGCTTAATGTTAAAAAGTCAGTCTAGAACTCACAGACCTGTTCTTGATACCAAGAGTTGGGTTTGAGCATCAGGAAAATATGAGCTTTTTCTGGACAGGAGCAGAGAGCAAAATCGTATCAAAACTGGTCAATCCCCATTTTGACAAGGTGGCAAAGGCTTCACAGTGGAGATGGGCAGGAATTTATAGCCATTCTGGACACAACCACTCATGAGATAGGCTACTGGGCCTTCTTTTTGCTACACATTGCCTGCATTTTAATAAGACAGAATTGTGGCACAGAGTAATCTGACTGCTCCACAAATCAATTGTTGCAGCAATTGCAGAGCAGGCTCATTTGAAACAATGGCACTTAAGAAAAAGTTGACTAGGGATCGTCACAAAAGAAAGAATGAGCTAAAAAAGATAATAATCTGGGCTGGTTTGTGTTTCAAGCCGAAATGAAGGACCACAATTTTTTCCACTTGATTTTGCTTGGGCAAAATGGATGATGGATGCTGTGCCCCTTCCTGCTGCCATTGTCACCTCCCTACCTGGTCCTGTTGCCACCACCTCTTCTTTCTCCAGAGCCACTATCTTCAGAGGCAGCATCCCGGCTTCCCTTCTAGGATCTGGGCCAGCTGTCTCTGTGCATGCTGACAGCTGAGAGGCAGGGCAGCGGGAATAGGGCAGGTGAGTGTTTGGCAGATGGGGAGGAGCCATTAGCGTGTTTAGTCACAACTTCAGTTTTGCCTTTGCTCTGTAATCTGCCATGCTGCCTCATGCTGCCTGGTTGATGAAATAGTGCCACTGGAAGAAGAAGGAATTGCCCATTATTTGAGGTTATTTTCTTTAGTTTGCCTGAGTAAGTTCTTTTGTGGATCCCAGGTAGAGTCTTTGGCATGTAAATGTAACATGGGAAAGGTGCTTTCTTGCAGCATCACTAGTGGTAAATACTTTAATACAGATGTGACCAATTTGTAGTCATCTTGATGTTATTGCACTGCTGCTTCCATCAGTCCTAGCCAGTAATAGTGAGGGAGATGCAATACAATGACATCTTGAAGGCAATATGTTGGTGACCCCTGTTTAATTATTATAAATAGACTTACATTATTTGAATAATGGAAAAGGATATCATGGGAAAAATCCTGTTCATGACAGGGTCATGTAAAGCTACACTGGAGTAAATGTGCCGTGTGTTACACCCAACAACAAGGGATTGTGCTACTCAGTTGTACAGTTGATTGCATGCCCTTGGCACAACCAAATACACAGTGTGCTGGCATAAGTGCCTCATGGATAGCACTTCTGCCTTGGCTCTATCATAACTTCTTCGGGTGCAGCCTTCAGTTGCATGCAGATTACTAATGTTCCACAGGATTTTGGCCAATATACTGAGGGTTCAGGAAAGGGTAGCTGGCCCTTCTAATGTTTGGATAGGGTTGGTAGTCCAAAATGATCTGGAGGAACAGAGTTGCCCAAACTTCCTGTAATGAAGATTTTGAATGCTGCAACACAGCCTTCCTATGGGCTGGGGAAATGTAGTTCTTTCAGGCTTTTGTATACAGACCAAGAGGATTTCATGTTTCAGATTTTCTTGTAGCTCAACTTTTGTTGTTTTAGATACATTGCTGAATGGAAGGTGGAAAGGACGACACAGAACTCTTACTTGAGCATCTCCTACTTCACAATTATGTTCACTTTGACAGAAGGGAAGAGAGATGGCAGGGCAGAAAGACTGGACCCTCTGGTTAGCAATAGTGAAGGTGAGGAAGAAGACCTCTGTCACCAAAAAAAATACATGTCTGGCCT